GTGTCGAGCAAAAAGGGCTTAGAAAAATCTGGGTAAATCAAGGGAGGGGCTTTTACCAGGGCGTCCCGAAGGGAGCAGAAAGCAGCCTCCTCCTCTTGACCCCAGTGGAACCGAACCCCTTTAGATGTTAAAGCGTGCAGGGGTTTTGCAATTGTCGCAAAATCAGCGACGAACCGTCGGTAATACGACGCGAACCCAATGAAACTCCTGACCTCTCCCACCGAGGTGGGAGTCGGCCAGGAGCTGACACACTGCGTTTTGGCGGGATCGGTAGCAATACCTGAGCGTCCCACGATGTGCCCCAAATAACGCACCGAATCGCGCAACAAATGGCATTTTTGGGGCTTGAATTTCAAATTAGCAGCCCGCATCTTTAGGAAAACCGCCCGCAACCTCTGGAGATGTTCGTCAAAAGTTTTACTAAAGACGATAACGTCATCCAAATAAATGAGGCACGACTCCCATTGCAATCCAGCCAAAACCAATTCCATCAAACGCTGGAAAGTTGCCGGCGCTGAGTGTAAGCCCATCGGCAACCGGTTGAATTGGAACAGGCCGTGCGGTGTACGGAAAGCAGTTTTAGGCTTTGAATCATCGTCCAGAGGAAGCTGCCAGAATCCCGAAAGTAAATCCAGTGTGGAAAAGAATCGCGCTCCCGCCAAGGCGTCCAGCGATTCATCCTGCTTTTTAACCAGGACGATCGGCGCTCCCCAAGGGCTGGTGGAAGGAGAAATGATGTCGGCGGCCAACATGTCATCAACAGCCGATTTGACATGGTCCTTTTCGGCGGGACTCAACCGAAACGGAATTTGGCGAATTGGCGCGCTGTCACCCGTGTCAATATGGTGACGCAGCAGGTGAGTACAACCCAAATCGTATTTATTCCGACTAAAAACGTCGGAAAATTCCCGCAGTAGTGTTTTAAGTTGTTGACGCTCTGAATCTGACAGGTCCGTCGATCCCGCACAAAGCGCCTCGAGCCACCCTTCATCGCTGTCCGAATGCGGTCGCGGCGCAGGGACAACGCTGACGTGATTTGCGACGGGTTCCTCACATGGCACCGGCGTTGCGTGAGCAAGCACGGTCCCCTGTGGGACCACCACCGTCTGCGAGCCCACATTGAGGACCGCGATGAAGGGTTCACCGTCCCCTCTTACTATGGTCTGGGCCGGAAGTAAATGAGGTCCACTAACCCCGGCCCTAGACGGCCCCAGCAAAACCCCTTGGGCCCCAACACCCTTAGCGAAGGGCCGCCGAAGTTTCAAGGGAATCAACATTTGCGCCCCCGGAGGGACGTGCACCGTTCTCTCTACGAATGCCGGCACCGTCGCGAACGCCGTCCGAGTCGTAACAGGTGATGGCAGAAACGCCATGCGTCTGCCCGACGGGAGCTCAATACATCCCTGGTCGATCAATATCCTAATCGGCATTTTGGCCAGGAAGTCCGTCCCCAGCAGGCACGGAACCGCCAGCGAGGAGGAAACAAAAATCGGCCCAGACAATTTAATTTCCCCAATACAAATTTGGGCACGAATTTGTCCGATGATGCCAAGTGAGCCCCCGTTAGCCGCATAGAATGGTACGTTAACAGGCATCAAAGGACGACTCCGGACAGGGAGAATATTGTAAATCAACTCCGAAATAATGGTCGCCGATGCTCCCGTATCGACCAGGATGCGCACTTCAACCCCGTCGATGTGCCCCACAACGGCTGACGACCCCGACGATGCGGCTACCACACGATCGGCCAGCACGGACCACTGGCCGGGTTCGATATGAGTACCTGGGGTGGTGCGTGATGGTGCGATGGTGCGCGATATCGGCCCCCCTCTCGTTGCGGTGTTTGAGTGCGTGACGGGTGTGTGCGTGGGCCAAACATGTGGGGTGCCGCGACTCGCCGGGTTATGATGGTGGAGCTTGTGATGAGGCCCGTCGTCCCGTTGAGGTGTCGTCCCGCGCTGTCGAGGAGCGCGGCACCCCGAGGCGACGTGGCCCCGGACGCCGCAGTTGAAACACCGCGGGAGCGCCGTTGGAGGAGACGGACGGTTGAAACGGCCCGGCCCGTCCCGGCCCGACCGTGCTCCTGTCGCCTGTTGCGGTCGGTGGTCGACGGCGTAGAGCTCCTCCGTCGGAATGGTGGTTGCAGCCACCGCACGCCCCGCCGATGCCCTGCTGGCTTTCCGCCGCAGTGACAGGAGGTTGGCGTGGAGGAGCCGCGCCGCCTGGAGCGATGTCATCTCCTCGTCCTCCCGGGCGACGACCGCGATGTCAAGGTCGTCTGCCAGGAGGAGGATCTTCTCCGTGACCATCGCGTCCACGCCGTCGTCGTCCATACGAGGGAAGGCCGACTTAGCCATCGCCAGGAGGCTCGTCCGATATGCTAGGGGCGACTCCTTCTCACCCCGCTTGCGGTCGTAAAATTGCTGTCGGCATTCAGCCGATGGTCCATAGACCCCGCCCAGCAGCTGTAGTGCCATCGGTAACGTAGACCGCTTCTCTCTCGGCGCCGATGTGAGGGCGGCGAGCGCGTCGCCGTCGAGGAGCGCCGGCAGCGCGCAGAGAGCCTCCTCATCGGACCATTTCGCCATCTCCTGATGGGCGAGGAAACGTCGGCGAAAACCGGCCCAGTCCCCCTCCGCGCCGATGAACTCCTTCAGCGGGGGCAGTCTCTGATGAAGCGCAGCGGTCGTTGTGGACTCCCGCAGGCTGATGTCACCACCACTCGGCTGTGCGTCGGTGCGAACGGCCGATGGGATCGCCTGTCGCGCTTGTGATGACGTTGCAGCTTCAGCGACGGCGATGTCGGAGCGGATGTCTAGGCTGGCCACGCCCCGAACAGCTGTAGCGTCGATGGCGGGAATTTCAAATTCGGACTGCTCCGAAATGGCGGGAAGGCGCCCTGGTCGTTGGCTCGCCTCGCCCCGTGTTGGATCACCGGCCCCTAGTCGCGTGATGGTCTCCAGCGTGGCGGCAGCGGCATACAGCAGCTCCGCCAGCCTCCCGTGAGCCAGCCGTAACGCGTCTGGCTGCGGCCCCTCTTCATTTCGATGCCCCGGTAAGGAGGCGTCAGGCCCCGGCTGCACCTTGTCTTGTGGAGCCGTCTCGGGCTCGACGATCTCGGCAGTGTCTTCCTCCTGCGGTACTTTGGCCCGCGCTGTTTTCCGCGTGTCCATGTTCGAATTACTTCTGACACCAGTTGAAGTACCGGTGAGGACGCTTGACGCCGAGGTTGAGGCACACGTATGTTTATTCACAATATGACAGTGGGCATATACACACTCGAGGGGGTATCGGCCCCCTCACCCGTATAACTCGGGATACACCCCTAGCTAACTCTGTCCTAGCCCCGAATCCTCCACTAATGGGCTAGGGGAGGCTAACTGGCCCGACACTGGTAAGTCGGGCCCGGTACCCGGAGTTCCAGACCAGCTCTTACAAGAGCACCGGCTCTGGCTTTCGGGACCACGCCGCTGGCTCAATCCTGTCCGGCCCTGAAAAGGACATCGAACCAGGGGAGTCCAGGGCTCTATCTAAGACGTCTTCAATCTTCTTCCCTTAGCTTAACATAACTGCCGAGCCCTTTGAAACATCCCCTTTTATACCCAACCCCTCCCTGAGGGGTGGGGCCCCGGGGGATCATAACGTTCGAACCAGCCCCCCCCCAGGGTGTCTGGCTCGGACGTCGTAGAGGGCACTTGCTCGTGCACTTACGTAGCCCCGCCCACTGTGTTTGTTTTCCATAGGCTGCCATGCATAACGGGCCCTCTCTTTAACACCCCTACATGTATAAAAGACACCTGTTCACAGAAGCAATCAATCAGATTCCAAACTCTCCACTATGGCCAAGACCAAAGAGCTCTCCAAGGATGTCAGGGACAAGATTGTAGACCTACACAAAGCTGGAATGGGCTACAAGACCATCGCCAAGCACCTTGGTGAGAAGGTGACAACAGTTGGTGCGATTATTCGCAAATGGAAGAAACACAAAAGAACTGTCAATCTCCCTGGGCCTGGGGCTCCATGCAAGATCTCACCTCGTGGAGTTACAATGATCATGAGAACGGTGAGGAATCAGCCCAGAACTACACGGGAGGATCTTGTCAATGATCTCAAGGCAGCTGGGACCATAGTCACCAAGAAAACAATTGGTAACACACTACGCCGTGAAGGACTGAAATCCTGCAGCGCCCGCAAGGTCCCCTTGCTCAAGAAAGCACATATACATGCCCGTCTGAAGTTTGCCAATGAACATCTGAATGATTCAGAGGACAACTAGGTGAAAGTGTTGTGGTCAAATGAGACCAAAATGGAGCTCTTTGGCATCAACTCAACTCGCCGTGTTTGGAGGAGGAGGAATGCTGCCTATGACCCCAAGAACACCATCCCCACCGTCAAACATGGAGGTGGAAACATTATGCTTTGGGGGTGTTTTTCTGCAAAGGGGACAGGACAACTTCACCACATCAAAGGGACGATGGACAGGGCCATGTACCGTCAAATCTTGGGTGAGAACCTCCTTCCCTCAGCCAGAGCATTGAAAATGGGTCGTGGATGGGTATTTCAGCATGACAATGACCCAAAACACACGGCCAAGGCAATAAAGGAGTGGCTCAAGAAGAAGCACATTAAGGTCCTGGAGTGGCCTATCCAGTCTGCAAACCTTAATCCCATAGGAAATCTGTGGAGGGAGCTGAAGGTTCGAGTTGCCAAACGTCAGCCTCAAAACCTTAATGACTTGGAGAAGATCTGCAAAGAGGAGTGGGACAAAATCCCTCCTGAGATGTGTGCAAACCTGGTGGCCAACTACAAGAAACGTCCGACCTCTGTGATTGCCAACAAGGGTTTTACCACCAAGTACTAAGTCATGTTTTGCAGAGGGGTCAAATACTTATTTCCCTCATTAAAATGCAAATCAATTTATAACATTTTTGACATGCGTTTTTCTGGATTTTGTTGTTGTTATTTTGTCTCTCACTGTTCAAATAAACCTACCATTACAATTATAAACTCAACATTTCTTTATCAGTGGGCAAACGTACAAAATCAGCAGGGGATCAAATACTTTTTTCCCTCACTGTAAACCCAAAACCCTATAAAGTATAAACCCTAACACTCTAAACCCCTTTACCCTTAAACCCTTTACCCTGAAAACCCTAACCCTCTAAAACCCTAAACCTCTAAACCCTTCACCCTTTAAACCCCTATACCCCAAATAGCCTAATCCTCTAAACACCTAACCCTCTAAACCCCTTTACCCTTAAAACCCTAACCCTCTAAACCCCTAACTCTCGAATCCCCTCAACCCCTAACACTCTCAAACCATAAACCCTATAACCCTCGAAATCCCTAAACCTCTAAACCCCTTATCCCTGAAATAACCCGAAACCTCTAAATTCTTAACTTTATAAATCCCTAACCCTATAAACCCCTACCCCTTTGTGTGGAATGTGGTGGGGGTGGGATCATGGGGTGGGTGGGTGCAGGGTGTGTGTGGTGTGCGGTGGGTGGTGGGTATCACAGGGGGGTGAATGGGTGCAGGGTGTGTGTGGTGGGTATGGTGATAGTGGTCGTGGTTCACAACGATCCGTGACCACCACCACCACCTCTACTGTGTGGTGGACCGGCCACCACACAGCAGCACGCGTCGGAGGAGTGAACGGATGGTTCTCCCTATGTGGGCCAGACTCCCTCGCTTCCTCTTCTCCTCCTGCATCACCATAACCTGATCCTCTTCCCTTGTCATCTCCTTCTCCTCCACCATCTTCTCCACCAATGTCTCCTCCACCTGCACCACCATCTCCTGCTCCTTCGTCCATACCTCCTCTGTCTCCCCCCTCATCTCCTCTTCTTCCTGCACCACCAGCTCCTCCACCAGGGTCTCCTCCTGCACCACCAGCTCCTCCACCAGGGTCTCCTCCTCCTGCACCACCAGCTCCTCCACCAGGGTCTCCTCCTCCTGCACCACCAGCTCCTCCACCAGGGTCTCCTCCTCCTGCACCACCAGCTCCTCCACCAGGGTCTCCTCCTCCTGCACCACCAGCTCCTCCACCAGGGTCTCCTCCTCCTGCACCACCAGCTCCTCCACCAGGGTCTCCTCCTCCTACACCACCAGCTCCTCCACCAGGGTCTCCTCCTCCTGCACCACCAGCTCCTCCACCAGGGTCTCCTCCTCCTGCACCACCAGCTCCTCCACCAGGGTCTCCTCCTCGTGCACCACCAGCTCCTCCACCAGGGTCTCCTCCTCCTGCACCACCAGCTCCTCCACCAGGGTCTCCTCCTCCTGCACCACCAGCTCCTCCACCAGGGTCTCCTCCTCCTGCACCACCAGCTCCTCCACCAGGGTCTCCTCCTCCTGCACCACCAGCTCCTCCACCAGGGTCTCCTCCTTCTACACCACCAGCTCCTCCACCAGGGTCTCCTCCTCCTGCACCACCAGCTCCTCCACCAGGGTCTCCTCCTCCTGCACCACCAGCTCCTCCACCAGGGTCTCCTCCTCCTGCACCACCAGCTCCTCCACCAGGGTCTCCTCCTCCTGCACCACCAGCTCCTCCACCAGGGTCTCCTCCTCCTGCACCACCAGCTCCTCCACCAGGGTCTCCTCCTCCTGCACCACCAGCTCCTCCACCAGGGTCTCCTCCTCCTGCACCACCAGCTCCTCCACCAGGGTCTCCTCCTCCTGCACCACCAGCTCCTCCACCAGGGTCTCCTCCTCCTGCACCACCAGCTCCTCCACCAGGGTCTCCTCCTCCTGCACCACCAGCTCCTCCACCAGGGTCTCCTCCTCCTGCACCACCAGCTCCTCCACCAGGGTCTCCTCCTCCTGCACCACCAGCTCCTCCACCAGGGTCTCCTCCTCCTGCACCACCAGCTCCTCCACCAGGGTCTCCTCCTCCTGCACCACCAGCTCCTCCACCAGGGTCTCCTCCTCCTGCACCACCAGCTCCTCTACCAGGGTCTCCTCCTCCTGCACCACCAGCTCCTCCACCAGGGTCTCCTCCTCCTGCACCACCAGCTCCTCCACCAGGGTCTCCTCCTCCTGCACCACCAGCTCCTCCACCAGGGTCTCCTCCTCCTGCACCACCAGCTCCTCCACCAGGGTCTCCTCCTCCTGCACCACCAGCTCCTCCACCAGGGTCTCCTCCTCCTGCATCACCAGCTCCTCCACCAGGGTCTCCTCCTCCTGCACCACCAGCTCCTCCACCAGGGTCTCCTCCTCCTGCACCACCAGCTCCTCCACCAGGGTCTCCTCCTCCTGCACCACCAGCTCCTCCACCAGGGTCTCCTCCTCCTGCACCAACAGCTCCTCCACCGGAGTCTCCTCTTCCTCCACAACAACCGTCAGCCATTTAGAGGCCTGGGTGAGCGCGGAGGATGGGGGCAGCGCCGGCTCCGCTCTGTAAAGACACCGTTCCAACTTCCTGCTACAGCAGAGATCGCACTCCCCCCCCCCCCCCCACCATCATGCGGAGATAGATTAACCAGGTAAATAACGATGCTGCAGTAACGCAGCATACCTTTGCCCATCGTGGGTCTGGTTACAAAATGGGCATTAGTCTTGCGATATCACACTGGATGAAAGGCTACATGGCAAAGATATGGCTGCTACATTATTTGTCCTCACACAGAAACCAATTCTAAAAATACATCCGTATATAACCGAATGTACACGTGGTGTTTGAACTGTACATGTGTTCGTTTGCAGGCGGCAGGGCTGGAACTCACAGTCAGAAGGACCTGGGTTTGATGCCCAAACTTTGGCCACTTTCTCCGTGTGGAATGTGGAGTGTGTTCTACCCCCCCCCCCCGTTTTATCCTGCATTGGTTTCCAAAATCAGAATAAATTATTTATACTGGATGAAGAGGAATCCGATAAGCTATGAAGCTCTTCTTTCACAGATATGCAGTCGAGGCACAGGGTCAGCAAGTTACAACAACAAACAAAAGAAAATGAGTGCAACGTGTAAAAATGTAAGCAAGTCACAAAATAATTGAGCATACAAGCACAAAGTACGTAAAATCCTGCCAGTTTTTCAACATTAAATACAAACTTGGGCAAGGCAGCAAAACATCAACAAAAACAGCCCCAGACCTCACCAAGACAACACAGTCCCTCAATAAAATTGTACATTAAAATTTAACTTTCATTCCTTGGGGTTTGGCATTTTCCTCCACGTAACCGAACCCTGACACACACGCCACACAACCAGTGTTGGATGGACATCCTCGGCAGTGTTAGAAATTGAACCCCCAAATCACTCAATAGGAATCGCATAGCAGCAGTAGCAAAAGCAAATTTGTTCTGTACTGCAAACAACTTGGCAGGACTCTAATTAAAAAGAGTCTTGAGACTGAGTGAGGCTCATGCTGGCTAAATAAGGGTAGTAGTAATCAATATAGAGCCGGGTACGGTGTACTGGGGAAACCGCCCCGGGCACCGTGCTTCTGGCGGCCCTGTGCTTCGATGTCACGGTGTCAGACGTAATGTCTTTTTAACACGTAGGCTTTCATACCAGATTGGCTCACAAATGATGACATCACATTTATCACTATTTAAGACCGAAACAGGAGTATTTCTCCACAATTATGGCCGTCACCTTATGAGGCTGGTTGCAATCCCCGGCAAAATGTCGTACTCGAATTGTAAATGTGGTGGGTTTACTTTCCAACACACTGGTGTGCTGATCTAGTAACTAATTGTCACATTTTGTTTACATGATACACCTTACTAATTGACTGTGTTGGGTGATGGTGGGTTTAACAACACACGTATATCTACGCGATCTAACCGAAACAAACCTGTATTATTAGTAATACTTCCGGTTTAATTGTGACTTGCCCCGGGCTCCACACCTCCCTATGGACTGTCTTGAACATTTGACAAGCAGATCGTGGCTTACCGTCGCTCAGCAGCTCCAAAACACTGTACACTGCCAGGAGTAGCAGTGGTGGTGGCGTTGCTGGTGGTGCTGGTGGCCGCGGTCCGAAGCCAGCTGTGACCCAGCGCCTGCGCTGGCGTCATGCGACAATCCGGATCCCATCTGTTGAGAGGCACACGGGGGTCACACGCGGCGCACATGGTGAGAGAGGCGTGGTGAGAGCATTGACGTTCCTTCCCTTCTCCCACGAGGTCCAGGAACGCACGGCAGCAGCGGTGGTCGTGGTAGCAGCGAAAATCCTTCAATACGCAGTACTCTAAAAATGCCCTGAGCCTCGCACTGCCGAGTAGAATCTTTAATGAACCTCCAAAGAGGGCGATCTTAACACCGGTGGTACTGGTCATCGGCAGGTTCACTTCAGCTCCACATCTTCCTGGTGATCGGAGGAGAGCGATCGTTGATCACCTTGGTGGAGGAAATCCTCATGGGGAGGGGGTGGGGGATGATTCTTACCGCAGGCAGGAGCTGACGAATTCAACAAACTCCAGGTCGTGGCTATTGAGTGCCCCGTGAAGTGACAAGCTCCCTGGCACCCTTCTCTTGACTGGGCAGAACATCATGCCCACACGATCTGCAGGAGACATGCACAGCAGGAGAGACACACAGTCACCAACCACCACTTTGCCTACCTACCCACTTACCCACCCACCCACTCTCCCAGACACCCATTTACCCACCCACACCCAAGGAATTGAAAGTACAAAGAGGCCCCCCCCCATGGCCACCCCAACAGCTCCAGGCCACACCCTAACACTGAATCCGGTCGGTTGCTCACCCCACCCTTCAACTCACCAAAGTAGTGCATTCCATTAGGAGCTGCATCCATCATACATCTTGGAGGCAACCCGAGGATCTGCACATGGTGGAGATAAAGGCAAAGGTCACCCGTGTAGGCACAGCAGACTGTAGGGGCAAGTGCTTTTAGTAGTGAGTAGAAACAGCAGCAACAGCAGCGGCACCTGTTGAGGGCCAGGACTGTGGCACACACAGAGAGGGGATGGTTGGCCATATTGAAGCAGGTACACACCGCACCAGGTATTCATTTGAGGCTGAGTCGAACTCGGGGATGCCCAGTACCGGTTCAGATAATCCTCACTGATGTTGGCCGTGATTTGGAATCAAACTCGCATTACCGGGTTTGTAGCTGAGCACGCTAACCCCTGCACCACTGCTTCCCCCACACGTACAAGACACACACGTGTACACACATACAACATACGATGGCTGCCATTCGCCAGGTCACCAAGTACCCAATCGACCCCCCCCTCTCCTACCGCCCCCCCCCCAGAGCCTACAACTTCAAGGAAGGAGGGGGGAATCACGAGTGGGTGAACGCCCAGTTGGAAATACCTCCATGCAGCACGGGAGGTGGTCGTCGTGGCTGTCCGACTGGAATAATTCCCTGCCGGTCACCAACTCCGCCACCGTGCAGCCCAGTGCCCACATGTCCACTGCACAGGTCAATCTGTAGCCCAGCAATACCTCCGGAGGTTGGAATGGCCGAGTCCCACCAACATAAAGAGCTGCACAACAACCACAACAACAACAAATATATATGTATGTGTGTTCTCACTATGTCATGAACAGCATCCTTGTCACACACTGTCACATGTACAGACACCAAGAGACTTGCACACACACTGGTACACAGACACACCCACACGCAGAAACTCACACCCAGGTGAGGTTACTCACGTTGACTTTTCACAAAAAAGCTGGTGCCAAAGTCTGTGACCCTGATGGTGCAGGTCACGGTGTCCTTGATTAGAACATTTTCCTAAAGCAAGAGAGGCAGAAGAAATTCACACTCGAAGGTTACGCCAATAGCATTCAGCCACCAGTGGATCAATCACGTACCACAGTACATACTAAACGGTCGTCAACCTTTAGTCAAGTGCAACATTCCCTGTTTTCTGACAGCTGCCACTGGGGGTGCCCCTTTCAAATGCGTCAAGACGAGCGATGTTCGTCGAGGCTCATCACATGTAAAGCTCTCTGAAGCACCATCTAAGTAAAAGGGTGCGGCTCTATAGACAACTTATCCTAGTTGCTCACAGCTGCCCGTTAACGAGTTACGAACCAAAAACCACACTCGAGGGCGCACGGATTTAGTGACGATTTGGGAAGTTTTCTATTCACAACATGGAAGCCGACAATGGGCACCTGTCAGTTCAAACGCGTGTTTGTCACGTTTTGAAAATCATTATTTTCAGCTCCGGTTTGTGTTTCCCAAAGTTTGTGGCAACGCTGTGATCTACATTGCTGGTTTTCTCTGTGGTGAGTCCCCCAATAGCGACACGACTCTACACGACAGTTTAATTCATACCGGATCATCACCAGAGGTAACATGACCCTGTCTCCTTCCAGATAGACGGACAGAGCTAACACATCGACCCTGTGACCAACGTGGGCGGTTTTCTCTATGGTCCTAGTCCCCAATAATGACACAACTCCGGAACAAAGTCGCGCTGAATGCTGTGTCCACTCACTGGCTTGATGTCCGCATGGATGATGCTCCTGGCCTTGGTGTGGCAAAGGAACTTGAGGATGCCCCTGGTGTAAGTTTTCATCATCCCCATGTGCAATTGCCGGAGCCCCGCTTCCTTAATCACATCATGGAGGCTCTCCCTGTGAAAGAGGCAGCAGCAACAACAACAATTACAACAATGACGCAGTGTCAGTGTCATACCCTGCAATACTGCGTGGATTATGATAACGACAAAATTAATATTCTATTTGCACATTCACGACTAATATGAGTCATAGCTCCGTGTGGGTTTAGGTCATTGGTTTGCTGATAAACCGAAGCAGCTAGCACATCTGACCACTTGCTTTCATTGGCTGTTTCCGGGTGGTGGAGTTATCTATTAGGAGATACAAACTCCACGCAGAAAGGCGTCCGTGTGAGAATCAAACTCAGGGATTTTCACCGAGGGGCACAAGTGTCACCACTGTGCTGCAGCCAACCTGCTGATCGAGTGGAGGCGTGGCTACATAAAAGTGGGCGGCGCTGATTGAGAAAAGAGGAGTGGCCTCTAGTGCACCTGGGCACATGACAGCTCCACAGTATCGCAATGCGAGGTTGGCACGGGAATCCCAGAAGTAACATCTAGCCCCGGTGGTGTGATGTTATCACCCCCCCTGGTGTGGAAGAGATCGGGGCTTTGATCATGACCCTGACGCATGTTTATTCTGAGTTTGCATGTTCTCCCCCTGGTCACGTGGATTTTTCTCCGGGTCCTCTGGTTTTTCCATCTACATTTAGAAACATGTGTTTAGAGTATTTAGCTGCCATACATTTCCACATCAGCCACTTTTTTGAGCTATCATTTGTAGCCAGGCCGCTTGTGAAAAATAACTAATCGGACAGTGGGCTTTACCTGCTAAATAAAATAGTTTTTGTTTAGCTAATGAAGTTAACCACGCCAAGGGGGGGGGGGGGGGGGGGGGCGGTGGGAACACATGGTACGTACTTCAACAGCTCCAGGACAATGCAGTGGTGTCCTCTGAAGTCAAATTGGTTCAGGACTTTGACGACGTTGTAGTCCTCATCACTGCCCTCGCCCTGAAGTTCCAGAGCCATCTTGATCTCCATTCTCTGAAATGTATCACGCTTGGAGCTGTGCAGAGAAAATCCACAAATGAATCATGACTTAGACTTGCTTAAGGAATGACCAGAAACAAATTATATTCAGAATTAAATAATTATACCTTCCCCAAGTGTAATGTCATTGTAAGTTCCAGTAGCGCGCTCATGGAAGGTTCCAGAAAGGATAGGGAAGAGGATAAAATAAGCAAGGGATAGAGGGGGGTTTGGGGTGCTGCCTTAACGTAGTGATTCCCTAATGTGTGAATTGAGCCGACTCCGAGCATGGCCCCAGCCACACTCAGGATTTCCAGGAGCTGAGCCAAGCCACGGCTGAGCCACTCGTGTATCTTTATCAGCAGCTGAGTGGCTCAAGCCTGAGCCAAACCACGGCTGAGCTGGAGCTGAGCCTGAGTTTTAGAGACTGAGCCATAGCTGATTCGTGACTGAATGTGGCTCTCACAGAGCAAGGCATTATAACGTGGAACATCATGAGATCTCCTTTGCCAATACCAAAATATGAGAATAGATTTTCCCCTTTTTCCTGGCAACAAAACAGGTGTTAAGATGTAAAAAAAAAACTTTAACCTTTACAAGGAATCATGTCTGAATTAACCACAATACTTGTGGTCAGTATGCAAACAAAAAACATACTCTGATAATATATGCATTGTCTTTTAAACTGATTGGTCCACACCAGACAGCTTTCTGTTGAGTCTAGTCTCAAAACGGTGTTAAACCAGAGGACGCCAAAAGGCGTACAGCACAAAAACGAGCACTATCAGAGGAATGAGAGCTCGGGGTGAGCAGCGACATCATGGGACCTCCTTTGCCAGTATATTTTTGGTATTGGCAAAGGAGGTCCCATGATGTAGCTACTATAACGCTGAACACACATGTTATAACATAGAACGCGCCCGTTATGACATGGGACAACCCCATTAAAGCGTGGAACGTGCCTTTTATAGCGTGGAACGTGCCCGTTATAACGTGGAAGGCTCCCGTTATAACGCGGACCGCACCCATTATAATCCGGAATGCATCTGTTGTAATGCAGGAAAGCGCCCATTATAACGTGGAATGTGCCCGCTATGAAACTGCACGGCTGAGCGGTATGATACAGTAGGCGGAATGCGGAATTATAACGTGACGTGACAGCATACCCTCCATTATTGGTCTCTTCATATCACTGTGTGCGTGTATTATAGCTTGAAAAACTTTATCGTTACATTATATACGGGGCTATTATGTTTGCTTAATGTGCTTTCCCTTAACGCGGCACTTTTCAGGAATGCATCTACCAGGTGAAATGAAGACTTAATGTAATGTAAGAGTGAACTGATCCAGAACAGGGGGAGAACATACAAACTCCACACAGGAGGGCACCCGAGTCAGGAGTCAAACCGGGGACCCTCTGTGAGGCACGAGTTGTCACCACCTCATCACACGGCCGCCCACAGCAAAGGACTGAACAACAACGTCGTCCTTGTGACAACACCGCTCTGAATTCTTACCTCAATGGTGATACCAAGATCTTCACGGCCACCAGGGTGTTCCTCATGTGGTCAAGGCACCGGATCACCTGGCCTTGACCTCCATACCCAATCTTCTTCAGCACCTCATAGCGGTAGTGGAGGTGCTCATGCTGGACCTGCACCAAATTACAATTATTTAGACTGACTATATTTTGGAAATCACAACATGTAAGAAGTGTGAGCATTATTTTACGAAATAATTGTTTTATTAAGTGTTTGGTTTTCTTAAATCTGTAATTGTGGAATGCTCTGATGTCTGCTGGCTGAGACACCCTTAAAAAGCTCATTAGCTCAATGGGCTTAGCTTGTGAAATAAACTTGATTGTGAAGTGTGTGTGCGAGTGCATGTGTGCTGTCTCTGGTTGGTTGGTACTTCAGGTGCAATGACAAGAAGCCACGAACCTCGCGACCGCCGCGCCTGTGACCGTCCCCACGGCGCGGGGGCTTTGTGGCGAGTCTCACCGGAATGTAATGATGTTCGTGGTCGTCGTATCCAGCGTTGTTTGGTCCCCGGGATCTGTTGCGGAGCGCAAAGTACCATACTTCCTGTATGGCTGCAAGCTCCAGCTTCTCCCGGTGGGTCATTTGAGGGCCAAAGAGAACCAGGATTGCTGCAGGCAAGAGAATAACAACAACAGCTGTCATTTGTTTAGATTCCTTTTCAGGAGGTTCCTGCAGATGATTTACAGAGAATGGGGGTGACGCTGCTGCCATTACGTCTGCTGTGTGATGCCAATTTGAGCAATTTGCAGGGGATTTGGATGTTTTGGCCAATACCAGTTATGTCTGTATGTTGAACTTATTTTGCACCGTGCTTCGGCAACCCTGCTAATCAGAAGTGAGGGGGAAGGACAATAAACTAAAAAGTTCGCAAAAATTATAGATTTAAAAGAGTATCGCTCCAGTGGCTTCCTAATGTCGGAAGAGCATTCCAGATGACTGCAGAAGCACATCTGAAAACGTGCGATGCAGTGACCATCTTCGTTCGATGTCCAGCTATATGCAGCTTTGATGACGTCTTAGGTTGCTTGAATTTGACAACGGGGTTAATGAATTAGATAAATATAACACAGATGCCAAGGATTTTATGAAATAAGAATAGCTTTTATCCTTTCTGGCACAAAAACAGGTGTTAATATGTTCAAACACCAAATAGATACCTTTTGCAAGGCATCACGTCTGCATTTACCACACGTACTTGTGGAAAAATATGCAAACAAACATGCTCCGATAATATATGCATTGTCTTTGATATTGACTGGCCTGCACCAGAGACAGCCTTCTTTATGACCTTGTCTCGCCGGTGTGAGACCAGAGAACGGCAAAAGTCGAACGGTACATCACCCATGCAACATGGCCACCATGAAGTCCCCCATGCATCATGGTCACTGTCACGTCCCCCTTGAAACATGACCGTCGTGATGTCCCACCATTCAGTGTGGCCATCTTGACGTCACTCATTTCTGTTCATACCTTGTGGCGACTTGCTGCGGATGGAGGCGGTGCGCGCTGAGGACAGCGCACTCCACGTGGTGCAAGACTCGCCATTACTCCGAGCCTCTCCAGCTCGGCTGATCTACACACACACACACACAAACAGGTCCACCACTCGGGCTTGAGGAGTGAGTGGGACTCGGGCAGGACGAGCCATGGCCAGGATGGACAACAATGGCTGACAATCAAGAATAATAACAGCGACAACCAAGGAACGGAACACATCAGAGAGGAGAGCCGCCAGAGAGATGGTGCGATGAAACCGGCGCTTGGCGGATTATTCCATCACAGGATGTGAGGGGTAGCAGGGTCTCAGGGAGGGAGGCGTTCATCCATCAGTGGATATATAACAGTGCTGTAGATGCTCACGCGTAGACGGGCATGTACACCAACAGGATCTCGGAGAGACACTGATAGACGCACACACACTCAGGCGGGCAAGGAGAAGCACATCCAGGTATACAGGTCACAGGTAGGCACACGCAGAGGGGAGAACACACGTCCACCCATACTTCACCACACAAGTCGAGGAGCCACATGTACCTCCCTGGTAGCAACTTGCAGACGAGGGTGCTCAGAGCTCACGGTGTCTCTCGCGCGGTCCGGGTCTCTGCGTGGAGAGCGGGAGACAGAGGCGAGGGTCACAGAGTCGAAGGGGCGTGACACACCCACGTCCAAACACACGTCACTTCACAATGCGGACTCTCATCATCAACACAGACTCACATCCTCACCAGTCACCCATAATATGAAAAACACAAAAAGCAATAACTGCCTTTCCTCAGCATGCTTGGCAAGGCGGTGTTGAATAATCCTTGCCAGGACCTTTCCCGGCACACCGAGGAGTGAGATGCCCCTGTAGTTGTTACAGTCTGTGCGGTCTCCCTTCTTAAAGATGGGGACCACCAGGGCATCCTGCCACCTCACTAACACCACCACCACTAATACCACCAACACCACCATCACTAACACCAGTAACACCACCACTATCACCACTAATAACAACCACAATCACTAACACCACCATCACTAAAACTAACACCACCACCATCACAAGTTGCGGATCGGGGGGTCTTGTTGGGACCATCTCGGGCCGGGGTCAATGGACCCGATTTGCTAGCTGCTCAGACCATGGTGAAAGGGGATGGGGACCCCTTCATTGCAGTCCTTAATGTAGGATCGCGAATGGCCGTGGTTCCTCAAGGGACCGTGCTTGCACACGCAACGCCGGCACCCTATGAGGAACCACTCGTGGGTCAGGTAACCACCGATCCTCCGTCGCGACCGCACTCGGACTGTGATGACGGATGGCTGGATGCGCTTTGCGCGGGATCAGTGGACCTGTCCGACTCGCAGCGTGCGCAGCTGCGAGTTCTCCTGAAAGAATTTGCCGACGTTTTTAGTCAACACAAATTTGATATTGGTTGTACTAAATTGCTGCGACACCATATTGACACGGGTGACAGGGCGCCAATCCGCCAAAATCCCTTTCAGCTGGGTCCCGCCGAAAAGGATCATGTCAAATCGGCCGTTGATGACATGCGAGCCGCCGATATTATTTCCCCTTCCAACAGCCCGTGGGGCGCGCCGATCGTTTTGGTGAAAAAACACGACGGCTCACTGCGGTTTTGTGTCGATTTTCGGCGATTGAACAAAATTTCTGTGGCAGATGCGTACCCGCTTCCTCGAATGGATGAGTCGCTCGATGCCTTGGCGGGGGCGCGATTCTTTTCCACCCTGGATTTACTTTCTGGATTCTGGCAGCTTCCTCTGGATGACGAATCCAAACCTAAGACTGCTTTCCGTACACCGCAAGGCCTCTTCCAATTTAACCGCTTGCCGATGGGCTTACATTCTGTGCCAGCAACTTTTCAGCGGTTAATGGAACTGGTCTTGGCGGGCTTGCAATGGGATTCGTGTTTAATTTACTTGGATGATGTCATCGTCTTTAGCAAATCATTCGATGAACACCTCCAGAGGTTGCGTGCTGTTTTTCTCAAAATGCGGGCTGCCAATTTGAAATTTAAACCGCAGAAGTGCCATTTGCTCCACGAATCGGTGCGGTATTTGGGTCATATTGTTGGACGCTCGGGGATATCCACTGATCCCGCCGACTCCCACCTCGGTGGGAAAGGTCAGCAGTTTCATTGGGTTCGCGTCGTACTACCGACAGTTTGTGGCTGACTTCGCTACGATCGCGAAACCATTGCATGCCTTGACGTCCAAGGGAGTGAGGTTTCATTGGGGGCCGGAGGAGGAGGCTGCTTTTCGCGCCCTCCGGAATGCCCTGGTGAGGGCTCCGCCGTTGAATTACCCCGATTTCTCACAACCCTTCTTGCTCGATACAGACGCAAGTAACACGGGCATTGGGGGCGTGCTGTCCCAGCTCATTGGTGGCGTAGAGCATGTGGTGGCTTACGGTAGTCGGGTACTGTCTCCGGCAGAACAACGGTACTGCGTTACCCGTCGGGAATTATTGGCAATTGTTTATTTCATTCAGTAGTACCGCCCGTATCTGTACGGTCGACGTTTCACCGTCCGTACAGATCATGCGGCTCTGCAGTACGCCCTGCGGGTTCAACAACCATCGGGGTAGTTGTCTCGATGGTTGGAGATTCTCCAAGACTACGACTTTGTCACCACATATCGTAAGGGCGTCCACCACACGAACGCTCACGCCCTGTCGCGGTTGCCACCCACTTCGGAGTTCGCTTCCCTCTTGGTTTCGGGGCGTTGTAGGCCCCAGAACGTGACCACCGATTCGGTCCTCGTGGCCGCCGCCGATGCGCCTTCGGCTTCGGGTCCTATCGAGCATGAAGGGAGGGACTCGTTGCTGGGGTTGTCGATTGCGGAGTGGGGATGCCTCCAAATGGAGGACACCTCCCTCCTCGCTCTGCGCCGTCGCACCGGGGGGGTTGGTCAGGGGGTGGCGAACGTTGACTCGTGGGGGTTGTTTCAGGGGCTTTTAATGCACTGGGACGGAAAATCCCGCCGCCAACGGCTCGTGGTGCCTGCAGCATTGAGGGGTAAGGTGGTATGGGCTGCGCATGAGCGGCTCCTGCACTTGGGGGTTCACAAGACCTTTGCCATCCATGCTCCAGCTCGATTTCTTCTGGCCGGGCATGGCAAAGGACGTGGGGGATCTCCTGGGGTCGTGCACGCAATGCGCGCAGCGGAAGCCACCAGCGAGGGGGTCCAACCCTCCGCTGCAGTCCATAAAGGTTTCCCGGGTTAACGAGCTCGTTGCTCTGGATATTCTCGGGCCATTTCCCGCTACACCCAGGGGAAATAGGTATTTATTGACAGGGGTCGAATACTTCACGAGATGGCCCATGGCCTGGCACCTGGCCAACCAGTCGGCAGCAGCCATCACGGAGGCCTTTGTCCAGGGCTATGTCCTCGACAAGGGTGCTCCGGAACGGCTGCTGACTGACCAGGGTAAGAATTTTTCGGGGAAACTCCTCCGAGAGGTGTGCGACCTCTTGGGTACGGAGAAAATTCGGACCTCCCCGTATCACCCACAAACTGACGGGATGGTGGAACGGCTGCATCGGACTATCACGTCCATGCTGTCCCAGCAGGTATCGGAATCCCAGACAGATTGGGACCTTCGCATTGCCGGTGTGTTACAAGCCTACAGGATGGTTCCCCATGCGGCCACCGGATTTTCCCCTTTCTTTTTAATGTATGGCCGCGAGGCTAACCCCCCTGTGACGACCCAGCTGAAGCTCTCGGTGCCTCAGGCGAAGTCTACATTGTCCGAACACGTTAAATTTAACATCGGCAAATTATCTGAGGCGCGGGAAGCGGCCGTGAAAAATTCTGAACTCCGCCAGAAGGCGAACGAGAGGCTTAGGCTGGGGCGGATACATGTGTTCAAATGGAAACCGGGGGACAGGGCATGGTTACACTGTCCCCAGGTGCCGCTGGCGACCTCGTCAAAGTTGGTACGGCCGTGGCGGGGGCCCGTGGAGGTCGTACAGGTCTTGCGGCCGCAATGTGTACGCGTCAAATGGGGGAGGCGTCGGTGGTACGTGCACCCCTCAAGGTTGAAACCGTTCATTGCGCCGCCCCGTGGTTCGCACACACACACGCATGGCCAAACGTGTGAGGGGTCCGCCGACTCCCCGACGTCGCTGCTTTCGCCTAACCTGACATCGACTGTTCCATCTCCAGGTGCAACAGGAGTGACGGGTCCACGACCGCCAACCCCTCCCGGGGGGGTCGGAGGTCACTCGGCAGCGAAGCCAGACTCTCTTGCACCCGGACCGTCAACAACCGCCACTGAGCGTGCCGGGACGGGCCCTTGTGACGGGCCCGCCGCGAGAACGCGCGCCAAAACGCGCAGACTTTTGTGAGGTCGGCCGTTGGGGGCCCTTGCGGACGGTGGGGGGAGGCGTCCGGAGCGCGTGTATATATGTTGGTTTTGCGGAATGGGGTATTTATTCGGGGGGGTGCGTCGGGTTATTTTTTTCTTCCTGTTTCCTGTTGTTGTTGTTGTTATGGTTGTCATTGTTCTTGTTAAAATTACGCGAGGCACACACGGTTTTGGGGAGGGATGCACCTTTATTCTGATTTTGTTGCAGCCGGGGACGGCTGCGAGCTGTACAGGGGGGGGTGATGTGGAGGTGTAATTGTGTATGGGCACGGATGGCTAACAAACACAAGGGGCGTGTTTAGGGCCGTACACAGAGGAGGTGCTCACACCGACGTCCGCACCTGCATCCCCCACGGGCCCCTCCTGGGGGCCGAGTGCTATAAAAGGTGGTGAGCCGGAGGGCTCGAGGTCGAGTGTTAGCTTAAACCAGCGAAGAGTGAAGACCAGCTGAATAGGCCCCGGAGCTCCCCTGGCTCGCTGTCCTTGTCAGGGCCGACCAGGGCAAGCCGGTGGCGTGGCCCCGAGAGCCCAGACTGACGTTCTTATAAGAGCCGGTCTGGAGACTCAGGGTGCCGGGATCCCAGCTTGACCAGGGCTGGGATAGGTAGCCTCCCCTAGCTCCGTAGTGGAGTACTCGGGCGTAGGTTAGCGGGGTTAGATGTTGTGTCTCCCTGTTAGACGAGTGAAGGGGACGATACCCCTTTAAGTACTGTGTGTACCCGTTACTGTGCACAAGTTGGTGTTAATAAATAAGTGTGCCTCCGTCCCCGTCGTCAAAGCCTCCTGAATACTTACTACACATAGTCAAACTTGCTCTGAAACACAACTGTACACGGATAAACTTTGTGATTGACCAGTATCCAAAAATGAGTATTAAAAATCTAGAACGGTTACATAGAGAAAATTTATGGACGGGATCAGAAGACACCAACACAATGGAAAAAGTTTCTATCAGATGGAACAAACAAAGAAGCACTGGCAGAATTCCTCTATGTTGTGTGGCGAGAGGCTGATCTTACCACTGTGGGAAAGGACTTAAGCTTGTACATAGCACATGGAGACCTGTGTCACTGCGTGACTATAATGGAGGGTTTACATACTCTCAGTGCTGTTGAAGATTTGACATGTGATCATGAGGAATGTGACACCAGAGTGTTTTTACATGCACAACATGCTGCACAGGAACATCAAACTGTAGTCATCAAAAGCCCTGATACTGATGTGGCAGTGAT